CTGGAACAGGCTGCCCAGGGCAGTGGTGGAGTCACCGTCCCTGGAGGTGTTTAAAAGCCGTGTAGATGTGGTGCTAGGGGACATGGGTTAGTGGTGGCCTTGGCAGTGTGAGGTTGATGGTTGGACTTGATCTTAAAGGTCTCATCCAACCAAAATGCTTCTGTCATTCTGTGGATATTTTTTGATCAACATTAGAGATAAATAGGTAAATAAAGAAATATAAATAAAAAGAAGGTATGCTGATAATGAGGCCCAGGTTTTGAATCTGGAACGAGCTTTCCCATAATTAAGTCCTACGTTTAGTAATGTGGAGGATGTCCTTCTGCCCTTGAGATCTACAAATCTGAACAAACACATTTTGCTAATGATAATAGTGAAATAAAAAGGCATAGTATGCATTGTGTAATTTTTATTTTCCTTTTTTAGATTTATTGTCTAGAATAGACTTGGATGAACTAATGAAAAAAGATGAGCCACCACTTGAATTTCCTGATACTCTGGAAGGATTTGAGTATGTTTTTAATGAAAGTAAGTCATACATGCGTTGTAAAGGCTATACTTAGAATAATGTTGAGAGGTTATCAGAACTTTAATTATACCTTATAAGTCCCTATTAGAATTTCACACTTTTCTGTTAGGAGTAAAATTTTAAGCCTTAGTGTTAACAGACTTGTAAATCTGGCTAAGTAATTACTTTTTTTTTTTTAATTTCATAAAATTGTCCAGAAAACCCCTCATTTTATACAATACTGTTGGTTTGTACTGTGTATACTTTATGACTTCCAGTTTTCTCTTACAGAAGTATTGATACAAAATTTCTGAAAGTAATTTCTGTAGCATTAGCATTAAAAAGCAAAATTAAAGAGTGGTCACTCATTTAAGGAACATTTTATTTACTGATTCCTTTTTATGGATACAAAATAAGTTATTGTTTAGCTAATAATTTATCCCAGCTATTTCATTAATACCAAAGAGAAAACACCAGTCTATATTGATGGAAGGATGAGCAATGCAATAGACTGTCTCTTACTCTTCTGGTGTGGGTCATGGTTTTGCATTACAGCAAGGTGTGTGATTACTACAAGTACTTCCAGCCAGCTGAATCTGTGTTAAATGAGTTAGTAATATTTATAATTTCTAGAGCATACATCTTAAAATCCAGCTGAGAAATAAGCCTCTGAGCTAGAGTAATACCAGACTCCAGGAAATGGCTCTTTCAAGATTGTTTGAAACCTGTAGGACAAATGGGGACGTTTACAATTCTACTTCTTTGCAGTGCCTGTTCTATGAACAGAGGAACTTTAGTTTCTAAATCTGCCTCTCTTACATCTTCCACTTTTAAAGAAAAAAAAAAAAGAGCTTTCCTTTAAATGATAGTCATTTATGCAACACTTAGCTTTTTAATACCCTGATGGCTTTCACAGGAAGGTACTTAGAGACTAAAAGTGTCATGAAAGTGATGCTCTTTCTTTGATGGGAGGGGTTCAGCTCTGTCACTTTTCAGCTCCTTATTTTTAGATCTACACAGTGTCTACTGTCTTCCTTACTGACTTCAGAGTTAATGGTTCATATGTGGTTGACAAAAAGGGCTGAAATTTGAATTTTGGGGAATAATGTTTTAGAGTGATGTTATTGAATATTCCATCACTAACCTCACAGCCTGAGTGATTTCCATAGAATGCAGCAAAACTTATTACATATGCTACTGGTCAGCAAAGCAAAAGGTCTCCATTTTGCTTTTGTGCATTTAATTCAAATGTTTGGTCATCTACTCTTACATCATAATCATGCTTCTTTTTATGATGGAAAGGTAAGGAAGATTTGTATCAGATTTAAAGAATCTGAAGAAGACAAGGCTTCCAGAAAGCCAAAGAAAAATTATACCAGATATTTGCTCCACTTTAGTTGTGGAGAGAGCGACTTTGTGTACTATGTTATGGCGTACTTGGAGAGTAACTAGCTGAGAAGGAACAGCTGAAGCTAGAATTGTGATGAAAATATGAGAAGAAGGATATTCGGATCTGAGACAGGGATATGAAGTTGGGGAGAAGTATTTCCCTGGTGTCTGGTACAGGAAGTAAGACAGATCTGGAAAAAAAAGTCAAATAAGCAGATAAGCATAACTATTAGAGATATCAGATCTCAAATATTTCATTTGAAACATCGAGAATCAAAATGTAAATGTCCTGAAAAGGTGTGAACTAAGTTAGCAATTTCTTACTATTCAAGAGGAGAAATTTTGCTGAGACGCCTTATTTTCATCATGCAGACATTTTGGCTTTCAAAGGAGATATTTGTACTGTTTTTAATGTTTCTCTGATTTACTGAAATTTTGTGATGCTCTCAGATCATAGCTTGTGTTTTGTCTAATAAGCTGAAACATAACTGGTAAGATACCTGTTTTCCACAGTTTGCTTCCTATTGATTGCTATTTTATTATTATTGTTTTTAGAACTCAGTCCTTGCCTTCATCTGTGGTTTGGTATGCTACTAAACTTTTGCTATAAACAAGGCCAACTGTAGAAACATACACTGGAATCTAAGAATAGCGTGTGGTTTTGCTCTGATCAAATATTCTGCTTTATTCTACTGTTATAATCTCAAGGTACCCTGAATCAAAGAGCTCTGACTTGATTGCACTGTGCCTAGGAGTTAAGATACTTACCTTAACTGTGGACATGGGTTTTTTCAGATTAACTTAGAATGTTGTTAATCTTGAAAATAAACGTTTCCTTTTCTTGCAGCCTCCAGCCCATTTTGTACTCAGATTTCTTCATAAATGCACTTGGTTTTGGAGTAGGGGATTTTGTAGCTACGCTGTGATCACCTAATTGACACTGCAGATCAAATATTAACTGCTAATGTTTACATTTCAGTGTTAATCCATAGCAATTGAGAAATAAATATCTCATGAAGAAGTTTGGCATTTGATATCTGCATGTAATTTCACTGTCATCACTTGTATTTAGCTGTGTCTAGCAATATATGCCATTCAAGGGGAGTGCATTTTGTTGTTATGCTACAATTGTTTTCCTTCAAAAATACTATGACCAAAAATGAGAAGGAATTAATAATAGCCCAATTTTTAGAAGTAGACTTCTTTTAAACTTTTCAGCAATTAAATGTGTCTTACTGTTAATGAAGAAGTAGATTAAAATGTAATGATTTTGTTTCTTTTACAGAAGGACAGTTAAGACACATAAAAACTGGTGAGCCATTTGTTTTCAATTATCGTGAAGATTTGCATAGATGGAACCAAAAGCGCTATGAAGCTCTTGGGGAGGTACATAAATAGTGTGTGTGTATGCATGTGCATGTGTATTGGTGTGCTGTGGTTTTTATTGTGTTTCTCTGTAGAAGTGATACTTTTATATATGTTAATAAAGATTTAGTGAGACTGCAGTCATTTTAAAAAAAGTTATTTCAGGATTAGTTGCATGTTAATGCTATAACTGTTACTTCCATTATTTGCTGTATGGCTTAAGGTGTGATTTAGACTACAATTTGACTTTAGTATATGTTCAAAATAGAATATCAACTGGATCATACAAATCAGAGAATATTACACAGTGCAGTATTTTCTTCAGCTTTCTGGTCCTCAAGGTGAAGCATGGGGTACAGAACTGTGGCATTTTACTTACTAACTTAAGATAAATGCATTGGTTGGTTTTCTCATGTTACCAGGAGATACCAGGAGCCATGAGATTGATTAAATGGAGATCCAATGGTTAATTGATGAAATATTTGTTGGCGTATTAGATTTTTGGATGCTACTGGTACTTCCTAGGCTTTTTGTAGGGATGTGTGGAGGCAGTAGGTGTAAAAGCAACTGACCATAGTTCCTTTTTTATGTGAAAGTGGCTTTAATTTCGGTGCCATGCTTTTGGTAATGTTTTACGAGTCAGAGTGTTGACTTGAGAAGAAGGGCGGCTCATCTCGGTGAATGAAAAACAGCGTGTGCTGAGGTCTTCCTTGCACTGTCACAACCTCCCCTGCCCAAGAGAAAGAACAGCTTCAGCACGCTCACCTCTGGGTAGCAATGCTGCTCACATCAGAGTGGCTTTTGGAGGCCCATGAAAGGGGATGCACAGGGTCTTTTTCTTAGAGACGATATAATGTTGCCCAGCAATTTCTGTTGGAATCGTCATAGCATGTCATTCGAGAGCTGCTTTTGCCTCATGGGTTGTCTACTTTCATTAGTGTTATTGTTTTAGTAAGGATTAAACACATTTATTCCCC